CTCTCTCTCTCTCTCTCTCTCTCTCTCTCTCTCTCTCTCTCTCTCTCACCTAGGGACAATTTAGAGTTACCAATCAGCCAGTTTTTGGTCTGTGGGAGGAAACCGGAGGACCTGAACAAAACCCACGCATGCACGGAGAGAACATGCAAACTCCACCCAGAAAGACCCCCAGACAGAGATTTGAACCAGGGACCTGCTCGCTGAGAGGCAGCACCTCTACCAGTTCCGCCACCGTGCTGCCCGTGACCATATCCAAATCTATAAATTATGATTCGGAAATTTGTAGAAGAGAGGCTCTAAGCAGTTTCACAGGGAGAACTCACTGTTGCATTTTTTTCGAAAATTTAACAAAATACACACCTAAAAACAATTATTTGTTTGCTCGACATTATAGGAAAGATGTGTCTCAGTTTAACTTTTCCTTATTAAATGCACTTTAATGGTAATAACAGCTTCATTTCACCTGGGCGCTGGTGTTCCTCCCCGCTCTGGTGGCGGAGCGGGGACGAAGGCTCCAGCCGCAAGTTCTGGAGCCTTACTCCACCCACAACTCGCTGCTTCCCGGGGCCATGGAACATGCTCTGCTGCCCCCTTCTTCCCGGCTTGGGCGGCAAGGGAAGGCTGTAGAGCTTGCAGCTGGAGCCGCAATGGATGGATGGATGGATTGATGGATGGATGGATGGCATACTGCCACAGAGGAAATGCACCTGGCGGGAGCCAACCAGACACAGGGGGAATGATCCCTATGATCGGGGATCCTCTGCCACCGTGTGGCCATCCCTTCCGTCGGGTTGAATCCCCCGGGCAGACTGCGTGGACCCGACCCATTTACAAACTTTCTTTCTGCTGCTTGATTACGTTTTATGCTGCAGTTTTTATTACCTGCAGCTTGTAATCTGCAAATCAAGATTTTCTGTTTGGGGGCATTTAACTTGTGTTAAGTTTTTCTATGTTGTCTCTGTGAATGTGTGTGTGGGTGTGTGTGTGGGTGGTGGGGGGGGGGGGGGGTCCACCTGGTAATGTTTATTATTTCATTATGATTGAACATGTCAAAGCCAAAAATTGGGGGAAAAAATGTATATTAGTCCCTTTGGTGTATAAGTTGCAAGACTTGCAAATTTATGCAAAAAGGTGTGACTTATACGGCAGAAAATATGGTACTTTTAATGTTTTTACTTGAAGTTTAAATATTAAAATGCTTCATAACTAAGTTTTATGTTTCCAAAATCATGTTAAATAAGTTAACTTGGCTTTGGTAGCATGACCATGCTTTTCATATAGTGAAGTTTATGGATGACACAGCAGTAGTGGGACACATCACGAACAATGATGAGTCCAAATACAGAGAGGAGGTGGAACACCTGATGCAGTGGTGCAGAGACAATAATTTATGTATCAATATAAAGAAGACCAAGGAGATGAGTGGATTTCAGAAGGAACAAGGATCCTCTTTATCCCCTTTACATTGGAGGAGCAGCTGTGGAGGTGGTCGGTCGCCTGCTACAGGGTGCATAGCTCCAGTGACCTAACCTGGAGTGCCAACACTTCCTATCTGGTCAAGAAGGCCCACCAGCATCTCTACTTCCTCAGAAAGCTGTGGAGAGCTGGACTTGGGAGCTCTGTCCTGAGGAGCTTCTATCACTGTGTGGTGGAAAACGTTCTCCGCACCTGCATCATCATGTGACACGGCAGCTGCACTGCTGCTGAAAGGACGGCTCTGCAGAGGGGGGTTAAGGCTGCACAGAAGACTGGGGAGGAGCCTTCCCACCACCTCGGACCTCAACTTCACGATGCAGAGGGAGGGCACTCCGCATCATGAAGGACTCCACTCATCCTGCACACAGTCTGTTCCAGCCCCTCCCCTCAAGCAGGCGGCTGAGGAGCATTCAGAGCAAAACCACCAGACTCAGAAACAGTTTCTTCCCTGCAGCTGTCACACTGATGAACTCAAGCTGCACTTAGTTCAGCTTCATCTTACAAATGTATTTGTTAATTGTTTGGCTTCTTGATCTGGGACCTGAATTCAAATTTTGTAGTACCATAAACATGCAAATGTGAGCTGGTATGAAAATAAAAAATCCTTGAATCCTTGAATCAAGGAATCCTTGAATTAAGGACTTAGTAATACTTCCTCAAAATCCTGTTCTGGGATAGGGTAGAGGCAGGGCAGCTGACTTGGGACCCGAAAGTCCCAGGTTCAATCCCCAGTCATTGCACACCTTGTGGTGTTTATGAGCAGGACACCTTATCCCCAATTGCTCCCCTGGCGCTTTCAAGAGCTGCCCACTGCTCCACCTGAGTGTATCCCAGGTACGATGAGTTAAATGCAGAAAGTCAATTTCGCCATCGTATGGGAACATACAATGATGACAACTCATAACACATTATTATTATTATTATTTTGTACAACTGACTCAAAGTCTTGTCTCAATGAGTGTGTGTGTTTTCTCACCATCTTCCACAGATTGCTTCATGGTGATCATCAAGAACTATAGAAGAGAAAGTAAAGGGTACGTCTCCTGAAAAAACAACAATACAAATTAACCACAAATATCTCATTAGAGCGTGGAGTGACATCTTTTGACACCCCACCTTCAAGTCACTTACCTAACGACTTCTCATTTATGAACTATGAGCTGGTTGCATAGCTCAAGACAAAATGTAAAAAAGACTGGAAACTCTGCAAGTCTTAATGCCTGATTCTAATTTGTAGCTCAAATACAATTTATTTTATTTTAATTTTTGTATGGCCATTCACATTATAGTTTAAATGAGCCCGTCATCGTACCCCCTGAGTGAACGTTCTATAGCACTGAAGTGAGCCAGGTATGCAGAAGAAGACACGGTGTCACACACAGCACACTGTGTTTAGAGAAGTACATATGGATGATACACAGTTTGGATCAAGTTTGATGTTGTGCAGTTACAGAGGACTAAACTATTAATTGTCATTCTTGTTTTGTTCGATCTTTGTATATGATCTTGTTGCTTCCAGAATATTTTGGTGCAGAATTGCAGTTCTGAAGCAGGAGCGACACACTGAAAGTGATAAAAGTATTGATTTAATCATGCTAGTATTTATATGATCTAACTGCAACATTAGTATAATATGTTACAGTAGATTCTCATTCATTCAGGACATGGCAAATTAAAAAAAAAACTATTGGACTTCTATTCTGTAGCTCAGGATGTGGGAAGTTCAGAACAATAAACTATGTGATGTTGATATTAATATTATCAATATTTGGATTGATACACATACTACTACTGAGGCAGCTGTGGCTCAGTGGTGGGGAAGCTGATTTGGGACTGGAAATGTACAGGTTCAACTCTATGCCATGCCAGATGTTGTGGTGTCCTTGAGAAAGACATCTATTCTCAAACAGCTCCCTGGGCACGTACGGTAAATAGCTGCCCGCTGCTCCACTTGGGTGTATCTCATGTGTGATGGGTCAATTTGCCACTGTATGGGAACATACAATGCATTTCACTTTCAATGACATAAAAGTCAAACAAAATGCATCATGACCATTCAGGCTGGGGTCAATATGTATCCAATTTAGCACCGCATATGAAAGTGACTTGTGTCAGATAAATAAAATAAAAAATCAGATTTGTCATATTCAGATGATCATTAAAAACACCCAGTATGGGTAGTATATGCTTAAATAAACTGGGTTTGGGCTGTGTTTGCCTTTAGTGGGAACATAAGAGAAAAGAAAGAATCCAAGACTGCGTCGCTTGGTAATCCTGTGTTGAGTATATAATTTACCAAGTATGTGGTACTGATTTCACTTCTGGCAGGGAGTCAGTGACCAGGAGCAGATGGCTCGTCTGGGCATTTAGTCAATATTTAATACCAGATGATACCAGGAGTGTTGATCAACTGCAGCTTCTGACCTAAATACTAATCTTTTACTCATGCTCGCACTCTCCTCGAGCTTCTACAGGTCCTTATCAAAAAATTAGCATATTGTGATAAAGGTCATTATTTTCCATAATGTAATGATAAAAATGAAACTTTCATATATTTCAGATTCATTGCACACCAACTGAAATATTTCAGGTCTTTAATTGTTTTAATACTCATGATTATGGCATACAGCTCATGAAAACCCAAAATGCCTGTCCCAAAAAATTAGCATATCATGAAAAGTTTCTCTAAACAAGCTATTAACCTAACCATCTGAATCAACTACGTAACTCTAAACACCTGCAAAAGATTCCTGAGGCTTTTAAAAACTCTCAGCCTTGTTCATTACTCAAAACCACAATCATGGGTAAGACTGCCGACCTGACTGCTGTCCAGAAGGCCATCACTGACACCCTCAAGTAAGAGCGTAAGACACAGAAAGAAATTGCTGAAGGAATAGGCTGTTCCCAGAGTGCTGTATCAAGGCACCTCAGTGGGAAGTCTGTGGGAAGGGAAAAGTGTGGCAGAAAACGCTGCACAACGAGAAGAGGTGACCGGACCCTGAGGAGGATTGTGGAGAAGGGCCGATTCCAGACCTTGAGGGACCTGCGGAAGCAGTGGACTGAGTCTGGAGTAGAAACATCCAGAGCCACCGTGCACAGGCGTGTGCAGGAAATGGGCTACAGGTGCCGCATTCCCCAGGTCAAGCCACTTTTGAACAAGAGACTGCGTCAGAAGCACCTGACCTGGGACTGCTGCTGAGTGGTCCAAAGTTATGTTCTCTGATTACAGTAAATTTTGCATTTCCTTTGGAAATCAAGGTCCCAGAGTCTGGAGGAAGAGAGGAGACACAGAATTCACATTGCTTGAGGTCCAGTGTCAAGTTTCCACAGTCACTGGGGTGCCATGTCAGCTGCTGGTGTTGGTCCACTGTGTTTTATCAAGGGCAGGGTCAATGCAGCAGCTATCAGGAGATTTTGGAGCACTTCATGCTTCCATCTGCTGAAAAGCTTTATGGAGATGAAGATTTCATTTTTCAGCACGACCTGGCACCTGCTCACAGTGCCAAAACCACTGGTAAATGGTTTACTGACCATGGTATTACTGTGCTCAATTGGCCTGCCAACTCTCCTGACCTGAACCCCATAGAGAACCTGTGGGATATTGTGAAGAGAAAGTTGAGAGACGCAAGACCCAACACTCTGGATGAGCTTAAGGCCGCTATCGAAGCATCCTGGGCCTCCATAACACCTCAGCAGTGCCACAGGCTGATTGCCTCCATGCCACGCCGCATTGAAGCAGACATTCATGCAAAAGGATTCCCGACCAAGTATTGAGTGCATAACTGAACATGATTATTTGAAGGTTGGCGTTTTTTGTATTAAAAACACTTGTCTTTCATTGGTGGGATGAAATATGCTAATTTTTTGGGACAGGCATTTTGGGTTTTCATGAGCTGTATGCCATAATCATCAGTATTAAAACAATTAAAGACCTGAAATATTTCAGTTGGTGTGCAATGAATCTGAAATATATGAAAGTTTCATTTTTATCATTACATTATGGAAAATAATGACCTTTATCACAATATGCTAATATTTTGATAAGGACCTGTACAACTTAGGCATGTTTTTCTCTCTGACAGTGGTCATGGTTAAAATAATAATGTGTTCAGGCCTTTAAGTTGTTTTATAGTTTTAGTATTACTGGATTTAACCTCCTTTAGAGATTCAGAGTAAAGAAACTGCCAAGAAGGATCAAGAAAATGTTACAAATGTTGAAATATTTACTGGAGGTACATCAGCCCTTAGTTGTAGAAATCAACTTTCCTATTTGGATCCATTTTATTTAGTAAATGGAAAAATGGCTATAATTCAGTTTTATTTTTTGATTTTATTACAGATATTGAGCTAAACATTCAGTGAGTTAGTAGCTAAGAATCATCCCCAAAACATATTCCAAGCACTGATTGTACAAGATCTTTGTTTTAAATGTTGGCATACAAAGAAGGCAACATGTATCCCATGTATACAACATGGAACAATATAAATGGTAAATGGACTGTACTTATATAGCGTCTTTCTATCTGATCAAGATACTCAAAGCTCTTTACAACAACCTGTGCCTCATTTACCCATTCATACAGCTCTATACTAGATCTATACTAAGATAATTGAATAAATTCTAAAGAGAATAATCAGAGCTTTATCACATTCATACACTGATGGGACACACATCAGAGGCAACAAGGAGTTCTGTGTCTTGTCCAGGGACACTTCGACATGTGACTGCTGGTGGATTCGAACCCCCAACTCTCGCATTGGAGGACGACTGCTCTAACCACTCAGCCACAGCCGCCCCAAACATGTAACATGTATAACATGTATCCATCCATCCATTATCTTTTACCTGCTTCTTCCATTTTGGGTCACGGGGGTCGCTGGTGCCCATGTCCAGCAATCACTGTGCGAGGGGCAGGGGACACCCTGGACAGGTCTCCAGTCCATCACAGGGACACATAGAGACAAACGAGACAAACAACCATTCACTCTCACACCTAGGGACAATTTAGAGTTACCAGTCAGACTAACATGCATGTTTTTGGTCTGTGGGAGGAAACTGGAGTACC